CACAGCCCAGCAAAAGCAGCTACTATGCTGCCACTGGTCCCTGTAGCCCTTCTCCTGAGGCTCTTGCACAGCTGCCTGAACTTGCAGCTCCTCCTCACCCCCAGGGAGGAACTGCTCCCATGGAAAAACACTCTGCCAGGGATTCACTAGCCTCGAGCTGCCGCCAAACCTGAAGCTGGCTAGAGTGAACACCAACAGCCCAACATCTACAACTGCTGCCCAGGTAGCCTAACCAGGCTGCAAATGTCACTGCTGCAAAGAGATCTGGGCAGAGCAATATCCCACAATCTTAGCCCCCATGAGGACAGGCTTGCTTAACCTCTCTACCTAAGGTTCCAACAGTCTCCTGGGGAATGACCTACCACATGTCATGAAGATCGCACAGCATCAGCTTATAGTGTGACAAAAACAGAGGAATAGGACAACACAGAACAGCTGCAATGTAGGCTCTCAGTACATCCATCCATCCATCCATCCCCTACAAGGTGAATCTCACAGAGTATGTCACAAAAGCACCATATAGGTTCCTCTCCTTCTTCTCACTTAGTAGGAGAATTCTCAGCAAAGGAAAACAGATGTATTGCAAACCTATCTGTCCTGAGTCAAAGAAAAGGTTTCAGATGGGAAGAAACCAGCAAAAAGATTCTGGTACCATGAAAAATAATCTAATTTAACAACCTCAGGGGATCATGATAGATCTACAGTAATAGATCCCAATAAAAAGAAATTCAGAATATGGATGGCAAATAAGATATATAGGATTAAATAGAAAGTTGGAAATCATCACAAAGAAGGCAAAAAACAAACAAAACATGTTTCAGGACATGAATGAAAAAAATGGGAGATGGTGGCAAGATGGCTGAGTAGAGACATTGCTTGCTGGACTGTCCTGAGGGAAGGAAGAATTTCAGACAAAGGAGAGAGGAGAGGGGATGCAAGTGAATGGAATTGAAGAAAAGTTAAAAACCAACAAAAAGAAGCCAAAAAGAGAGAAATCAATGGAAAAAATTATTTGAAAAGTCACTAGAGAGCTAGATTATATGAAAGGATATAACAACTTGAAGAAATGAAAAGAATAATTTAATAAACTTAATACATAATAAAAATCTTAACAAGAGGATTAACCAAGGAGAAGAAATATTCTCAGAGCTTACAGAGGTTAAAGACAAGTCTCTTGAGATAAGCCAGTCGTTCAAAGTGGTGGAGGAGAGTATAAAAATGTCCAAGCATTTATTGAGAGAGATAATGGGACTATGAGAAGTCGTGAAGTCAACTAACATTAAAATTATAGGTATCCTTGAGGGAGAAGAGGAAAGAGATAAAACCATAGTAAACCTATTTGAGAAGATTATTGAGGAAAACATTCCTGGTATTGCAGAAATTCAGACATACAGATACAACATGAACAATGAAGACTGTAAAGATTCATAGCAAAAGTTCATTTCAAAGACACATAGTAATCAACCTGGCCAGTCAAAATGAAGGAGAAAATCCTGAAAGCAAGACAAAAGCATCAATAACATACAAAGGAAAACCCAACAGGCTAAATTCCCACTTCTCAGCAGAAACCTTACAAACCGGAATGACTGGGGCACTATGTTCAATCGACTTAAACAGAACAACTGGTAGCCTAGAGTTTTGTATTCTACAAAACTAAGTTTTACAATAGACAGAGAAATTATTTTTCAAATAAGCATACACTGAGGGAATTTGCCATGACCTGACCTGCTCTGTACAGAATACTCTCGACCAGGACTACACACAAAATAGCACAAAAGATTTCAGCCAATGTAAATTCTCCTAGAAAACCCCCAAACTCACAACTGCTATAAAACTATAGGTCAAGAGGTAAAATAATAAAGCAATAAAGTATCTACCCAAGAGGATGAATAAAACAACTTACCACATATTGTTATCAATTAATGTCGATGAAATGTTTCAAAAGACATAAGCTGGCTGAATGGGTGAAAAAACCTAACCCAAGTATCTCTAGTCTCTAGGAAACACATCCAAACCACAATTATGCACACAGACTTAACGTGAAAATATAGAAAAAAATATTTCATGACAATGGAAATCAAAACAAAGCAGGTGTAACCATTTTTTTTTTTTTTTTTTTTT